ATTAATTGGCACTCCATCGCGCCAGTGCGGCGCAGGCACGTTCATCTGCTGTTCATCGGGTTTGCCATGGCATTCACGCGGGCGGAAGAAAGAATACTGGCAAGCCTAAACGCGATTATGTTCTCAAGGGCGCTTCCAAAAGTAAAGAGAACCCCGACGATCTGAATAGAGATCAGGTGATGGCAGACATGGGATGTGGATGTGAGAGGGTGAGATCGCAGTGAAAGGGAGAGCCCCCCCCACAGGGAACTGTGGTCCGGTTTTTCGTGCTCGCGTCGGGACTTGCGGGCGAAGGGAAGCTGCGTGGCCGGCCGAGGTTCGAATGAGTGAGACGTTGGTTCCCCCCCTCCTCCTCCTCCTCCTCCTCCTCCTCCTCCTCCTCCTCCTCCTCCTCCTCCTCCTCCTCCTCCTCCTCCTTCTCCTCCTCCTCCCCTCCTCCTCCTCCTCCTCCTCCTCCTCCTCCTCCTCCCCCCCCCCGAATTTTTTATCACCCGACGGGTGGTCATTTAGTCTGGGCTTCCCATCTGGGGTCGGAGCAGATGGGGTCGGAGGATCGCGCCGCATCGCCGATGCATCGGCGATGCGGCCAGACGTGGTGCCCGCTGTTCTCCACGCTGGCGTCGCCGATGCATCGCCGACGCATCGCCGATGCACCGCCGATGCATCTGCGATGCTGCGCAATCCTCCGACCACATCTATTCCGACCCACTCTGGGAGGCCTTTGAACATCGGCCACGCGCAGAAGGGGGGGTCATGCGGGAGGGGGGGAGGGCGTTTCAGAAGCACCATGCTTCTCAGAGGGCGCGGGCCCTGTCTTCAGATGCAGGGGCGGCGCCTCCTGCGCAGCGGCCTCTCCCCCTCCCCCCTGCCCCCCTCGTGCGCGCCGCCACGCAGAGGGAGAGACATGTGTTCCGGGGTGGCACTGCTCCGCTCGGATCCCGACGGGGGACGGCGGGAGTCCCTTCGGAGGGCACCACCTATACACCAACACCGATCCTGGCCCAGGATCACCCTGGGCCCAGGATCGGTGTATATGCCTTCTTGCGCAAGGCAGGAGGGCGTATACACCGATCCTGGGCCCAGGGTGATCCTGGGCCAGGATCGGTGTTGGTGTATAGTTGGTGCCTTCCTATCCCTGGGTCCCAGGGCCGCACCCCGCGAGCCGCAGCCGCGCCCGCGTTCGGGCATGGGGGCAGGGAGTGCAGCCGAGGCGCTGAAGTAAGAGCCGCTCTAGATCCGGCAGGGCCAGCGGTGTCGGCGTCACCCAAACATGCAGTAGCGATGTGTGCGCCGCCCCCAGAGAGTCGGGGCTGGACAGGTCTCCTACCCTGACGCGTCGATTGGGGAATTGGCCGTGTTCGGTTCGCGAGAGGGGGCGCCGCGGCCGTCGATTTTGCGGGTCCAGGTCCGTCGGTTTCGGTCCCAGGCCGTTTTCACGAAGGGGAGGTCTACTAAAGGGAGGTTTGTCCACCGCCGAAAGGGGCGACGCGCGCGCCGAGGAATCCTACAGTAGAAGCTCCGTGGCGTGCCCCTCGGGAAACCATAGGCTACAGGATGGTTGTACTACATGCTTGGGTCGGACGCGCGCCTCCGAGGAGGACACATAGTATTAGTATGTCCACCGGCGTCCCACAATGGGCTACCAAGGCGTTCTTATTGCGATCTTCAGTCTCAGCGACCCACGGCAGGAGCCATCAGTCCCTTGCCGTCCAACCCACGCGCCCCTCAGGCTGCATGGTTTTGCTGCTTTGGGTTCGAAAGGGGCTCGATGCTCCGTAGGTCCTTCCATGGCTGTTCCTCCAGCCCTCTTCGTGTACGTAGGCCTTTTTGGAGGCCAGAAAGGGGGCCTCGTTCCTTGCGTATCGTTTCCTCTGTCAGCAGCCCGATTGTGTCGGTGACGCTCGCGTCGTCTCTCTCAAGCTGTGCGCGCTGCTCATATCAGCGGCGAGCCCAGGGGGGACGTGAGCCCTCCTCCTCCTCGTCCTCCTGGTCCTCCTCGTCCTCCTGGTCCTCCTCCCCTTCCTCCTCTTCCTCCTCGTCCTCCTCTTCCTCCTCGTCCTCCTCCTCCTCCTCCTCCTCCTCCTCCTCCTCCTCGTCCTCTGGCGGAGGCGGCGAGCCCGGGTGCGGACCTTCTCTGAGGGCTCGCAAGGCCCTCGGCCATCGGGGAGAGGTCTGCGGAGCCCCTCCCCAAAAGGCGCATGACCTTTCCCAGGAGGCCAGAGGGCCTTGAGGAACTCAATCGGGTATGGTAAGTTTTGGCCTGGTCGCCACTCCCCCCCCTCCTCCGCCTCCTCCTCCTCGCTCCCAGCTCCCGGGTGAGTGCGGCGCCCGCCCCAACCTCGGGCATGGCCAGGACCCCGGGTAAGGGGACCCTGTTAGTGGTGGGGCCCCGGAGCCTTCGGATTGGCCAGAATCACTGAACCAGGTGTGCCATAGCTGGTGTTTTTGCGGGTGACGGCAGCTCCGGTTCGTGGAAATGGGACGGGGGGGCGCCCCCGGTACAGATCACTAAACCAGGTTCCACTAGACCCAGTTCTACCAACGCCCGACTCAAGGCCTCCTAGTTGGGGTCCAAGTAGATGTGGTCGGAGGATGGCGCCGCATCGCCAATGCTTCGACGATGCGGCTGGATGTGGAGCCGGTGTTTCCCCACGCCGACGTCGCCGGAGCGTCGTCGACGTCGCCGATGCATCGCCGATGCATCGTCGATGCATCGCCGATGCATCGGGGATGCGGCGCGATCCTCCGACTCCATCTACTCCGACCCCATCTAGGAGGTCTCTAGAAACCCCGCCGCCTGTGAGAAGGCTTTCTCCTTCTGACTTTTCCCCCTCGCTCGCCGCTGACCGTCCACCTCCTCCACAACAGCCCGGCACCGCAACCGTGGCGTGCTGATGGGGTCGTCCGACCGGCTTGGGAGCGCATGACATGCGAGTTTGCCGAGTCGCGGCGTCGCGTCGGTCTCTGACGTTTCCGACATGGCACTTGACGGTCCAGTATTCGTGAGATGTTGGCAGCCAGAGCTTGCGTCAAGTTTCAAACCATGCCCCGCTGTCTCTCTGACGGCCCCGTCAGTCGAGTTCGAGCCCCCCCCAAGCTCGAGTCTTACGATATTCCAATCTACTTTAACCTCGATCACCAGATGTAATTTCGAGCACCAAACGGGTACCGAAACTGAACGATTTTTACTTGTCGGGCCCTGGGAGGCGATACTCGTTCAACACTGTTTCGATGCTCTTCTGGGTGCTCGAGATCCTGTCTGGGATGCGGTCCCCTCAAGTACGATGGCAGCAGCATCATTCGAGCCTGGCGCCACCCCGACGTCTGCTCCCCGACAGGTCCGGAGGCTGGAGGGGCCAGTCCATGGAGTCCGCCAGAGAGGCGCGCGCCGCTCTCGCCTCCCCCGGCGGCGCCTCCGGCGCCGCCCCAGCGCCGATCCGAGAAATCTGCGCAGACCTCCGAGTTTTTATGTTTGTGTCACTTTTCGTTATCCTGAGGAAGGGGGGTGCGCGCGTCGGCGCGGGTGCGGCCTCCCCGTGCGGCTCGGGCAGCGGGGTTTTTGCGCACGGCCACCGCGCGCGGCAAGAGGCCCGCCCTGGGCCCCCGGGGAGCGCCGTGCGTGCCTCCCTGGGGCCGAGCCAGGAGGGTACAGTGAGCGGCCTGAGTGAGGAGCACTTACGGTAGGTTTGCGTCGTGTCGACCAGCGGCGACCCCAGCGCGGGCGTTCAAGGTTGAACGCCGCCGGCGACCCAGAATCGATCGATGTTGAACGATCGGACCTTGCGGCAGCGGCCGATCGTTCAAGGTTGAACGATCCCTGCGGTGTCAAAAACCAACGCTGGGGTCGGCACGACACGAACCTGCCGTACCTTCCAAGAGGGGCTCGGTCGTCGTTCTGCAAGCTCGCATGCGTGACTGATCGTTCCTTCTGCGTTCTGTATCACTTATCGCTCCTTATGCGTTGTTCCTTGGGAAGAAAGGGCTTCGTTCCTTATATATGATTCCGTAGGTCAGGCTGGTGGCTGTACACATCCACCGCGCTTGGCCAGACCCATCTTGGGCCCAGGAGCGATGTGCATGCTTCCCTGGCCAAGCCAGGAGGGTATGTACACACTGCTCCTGGGTCCAGGACGGGCCCGTCCTAGGCCCAGCGGATACGTAGAGGTCTCGTCGGTCTCGTCGGCCGAGCGGTTTGGTTGTGGGGGAGAAGTCGGGGCGCACGTGTTTCTGGGGGGCAGAGGCGATTTGAGTTGGCCCATGGAAGAAGGTTTCGTTGGCCCTCAGGGGTCTTCACGCCCTGGGCTGCTTTCCGGCAGCTGCGCCTCGCAGAGAGCTCGCCCGGGGTGCCTGGCCGGATCGGCCTCGATCGGCCGCTGGAGGCCCGGGTCCCGAAGTCGAAGTCCACCGGGCGCTGGCGAGAGGGGTGAGGGCTAGGCAGGGGGGGGGAATGCCATCCTGCCTGGCAGTGATGTCTCCTCCTCCTCCTCCTCCTCCTCCTCCTCCTCCTCCTCCTCCTCCTCCCTCAAGTAACATTGGGGCCCGAGCTTTTCAGCTGACGAGCTCCAGTCTCTGTGCCGCCACGGGGCACTTGAGGGACTAGGCTAAGCACAACCAGCCCCATCCGTGTGTGCTTCAGCCTCGACTAAAGCAGAGACGAACCTTAGTTTTCGAGTTGCAGCCATGACAGGTGCGGGTAAGGCAGCCCCGCGCCGAGCATGGACAAAGTGTCAGAATTGCCAGCGATGTGAATACAACGACATCCTAGCCAACAAGCACAACTTCTGCTGTCCTGGATGCCGCCAGAAGGTCGGTTGGTACGAGAAGCCGAGCTTGTCGCGAAGGAAGGCCGTCCAGTTCGCGGACGAGGAGTGCGAGGAGCTGCAGCATCCACGTGGCATTCTACGCTCGCCAAGCCCAGGCTGCGCAGGCAAGGGCAGGCGTAAGGGCGACGACAGGACCTCAGCCATCGCCGACTTGCTCAGGCAAGCACTAGAGTCCACGGCCGACCCTGTGCTCCAGGCCAACTTGAAACAGCAGGTCGAGCGGCTTGAGGCGGAGGCGGCCGCCGCCAAGGGCACCACCCCTGTGGAGGCCCTGAGACGGGCGGACGGCGCCTGGAAGGACGCGGATCACCGCCATGGGCAGCAGGTGGCGCACGTGCTGAAGCTCCGCCAGCAGCTGGAGCTGGCCGAGGCCAAGGAGGCCAAGGCCGCCGTCGAGGTCGCGCAGGCGCTCAAGGCGCGGACGGCTGCGGCGCGGGCACTGGCATGCGCCGAGGGCGTCACCACGCAGCAGGCTGACACCAAGGGGGCGTACGAGGCCAAGATTTTCGAGGTTTCCTACGACAAGAGTTTTTCGCGAACATAGACACCATGGAGTGCGAGGAGCACGAGAAGGCAGTGCTACGCAAACTTCGCACGAGTCTCGAGGCAACGGCGTCGGCCCTAGAGAGCAAGGAGGCCGAGGTCAAGGCGTGGTTGGCCCAGGCTCAGAAGCTGAAGTCAGAGATCGAGGATCGAGCTGCCAAGAAGAGGGAGAACGCGGAGGGCCAGGGCGTTGCCACAGGCGCGAGTGCCGAGCTGCCTGGGGGGAGCGCCGCGCGTGGAGCGCAGGGTGCCGAGGGCGCCACCGCCACGCAGACGGCCTCCCCAGCGGGCACCGCCGAGGCCGCCGAGGCCGAGACCGAGGCTGTGAAGGCCGAGGCTCAGAGGCTGTCAGAGGCGAAGTTCCAGGCCATGGCCAACCAGAAGGGCAAGAGCAACGGCAAGGGCGTCGGCGCTTCCCCCCAGCCGCAGTCGCAGCAGACCACAGAGGACAAGAAGCAGGGCGAGTGACTAGGCACTGAGCCCAGTCGCGAGTCGGCCCAGGAGCCGACAGTGGGAGGCCGCACGGCCAAGATATTCCACGGGAATGTCACTTGCATGGGGGAGAAGGCGTGGTCCTGGCTGGTTGGGCAGCCACACGACTTCTTCAGCATCGTTGAGACTCACATCCATGATAAGCAGTCTCTCAAGAAGTACGACGGCAAAGCTCGGGGGAAAGGGCTTCGCCTACACGCCAATCCAGCAAGACGCACCCAGAAGGTCGTCACAGACGACCATGTCGAGTTCGCGAGCGAGGGGGGCGAGTGGCTCATGTCCAAGGGCCACCTTCAGGTCGCCAGGCTCGGCGCAACCAAGCTCGCGGCATCCAAGCCGCAGGCGCCCAACCACCCCCCCCCTCGCTCGACGGGTTCGTGGCGGTGACGGCGCACTTCTCGGGTTTCTCCATGGTCACCGTATCCTTCTACGCGCACAACGGAGTGGGGGTGAGAGGCCTGAATGCTGGTAGGTGCCAGCGCCTAGCAGGCCTCCTGCGGTCGCTCCAGCTGCCGTGGATAGCGCTCGGTGATTTCAACATCTCGCCTCAAAATTTTGTTCGATCAGGCGCCCCTGGCAGGTTGCACGGCACTGTGGTTGCCGCTGGCGACACGGCAACTTGTAATATTGGCACGGGCACGGTCATTGATTACGTTTTGTGCAGTAAATCAGCGGTCCCTTTCATCGTATCTGTCACGCCTGTTCTTGCTGCCCCCTGGAAGCCTCACATAGGCCTCGAGGTCACTCTTCGTAGTTCAGGTGAACAACTCATCACTAGGATTCTAGAGGTGCCAGGACGCTTGCCACAGGTCTCGCCCCCCACCTCCGAGCCAACTGTAGGCTCTAAATCCAGCCCCGCTAAGGTAGAGCGCCAAGCCCAGCATCAGAATGCGGTTGACAAGCGCGCCCAGAAATTTGCATCATTGTTTGGCGATTGTAGACCTCAGTCGTCTCGCGCGCACTCTGAGGGGGAGGCGTCTGGGGACCAAGGCGCCACCCGCTTAGAGCCTAGGGAGCACGTTGCTGAGTTAGATTATTCCGAATGGCCTGAAGAGGAGGAGGACCCGTGGGCTGAAGAGTCCTGCTTTGTCCCCAGGAACCCTCTAGGCCCGTTAGATAGTACAAGTTTTGGGAGTTCGTCCTGTTTTGAACCTGTCAAGTCTGGGGCCTGGGAGTCTGGGGGAGATCCGTCTGGGGGAGTCGGGGGCGCGGGGGTGGTGCTGCCGAGCTCAGCCGCTGCTCCGACCTTTGGCTCATCCCAGGCGCGGACCCTGGATTCCCAGCGTGTTGGAGACCTGCCCTCGGACCCTGACGCGGAAGTCTCTGGAGGAGCCCCGACTTATGCAATACCTCCTGAGCTGTGGGAGCGGTATCGGAGGGAAGTCGGGTTTACACCTGGCTCGTTCTCGCTCCAGTCCCTTGCTCCTGCTCTGCGTCAGTCCGTAGCAGTTCGGCTCAAGCCAGATCTTGTCTCCACTATTTCAGGCCTCTACGCCTCCTGGGCGTCCGCTGTCGAATCCAGCATCTCTTCGCACCATGGAGTTGAGATTCCATCAGGCCCGCGTCGAGCAGAGGGGCCACGCTTCAAGGTGACCACTGTCAAGATGCCTGGCAAAGCGCGTGTTGCGGCGCTTAGAGATCAAGTCAGTGCATGGTGGACGCAACTACACACATTTCTTTCAGGACTACGCTTACATCGTGACAAGCGTAATGGACCACGACAGGTTGCTCAGTATACGGCTGCCTGTGTACGACATCTGGGCACTCGACCAGGTGAAGCTCGGCGAGTTTTGCTTGCTGGACGTGAACCACCGTGGGATGAATGGGAGCGAGTCATTCGAGCTGCAGGCGAGATGACCACCAAGGAGCTGGAGCTGTACGTCTCCCTGTCCAAGCGTGCCATGGGCAGAGCGCAGCGGCGTGCAGTCCAGGAATCCATTCGAGACTTCAGAGATTTTATGGGCACAGCTGAGTCCATAGGCACGCTGCATCGCTCATTGGACCCGCAGAATCTACCAGCACAAGAGCTCGACCACGAGGGGGAGGTGCTCTACCACCCCAAGGACATCATTGACGTCAAGGCTCGAGGCTGGCATGATCTGTGGGCGCCTCATCGGATGGACGAGGCTAGTGCAGCATACATTTCAGCAGGTACGAGAAGCAGCCCAGGACGATGTTCTTCCGCCCATATCGGTTGAGGACATCAGAGCAGCCTTGCGGCAGATGCGGCCCCGAGCGGGGCTTGGCGTCGACGTGCTCTCCCCAGGGGACTTCGAGCGCCTCCCTGATACGGCTCTTGCAGAGTTGGTGCTGTTGTCCGAGGCTTGCGAATATCATCTCGTATGGCCCGCCCAGGTCCTCATGATCGTTGGACGCATGCTGCCCAAGAAGAGCACGGGCGACCGCATCATCGGGCTCGCCCCCATGGCTGGCAGATTATGGAGCTTGATTCGCGAACCGTTGGTGCGCCAGTGGAGCAGCGACACGGAGGCGTCCTGGGACGCAGCAGTGAGAGGGAACTCC